TTGTTGAAGATTTTTGCATCTATATTCATGAGGGATATTGGTCTGTAGTTTTCCTTTTGAGTGATGTCTTTACCTGGTTTTGGTATCAAAGTTATGTAAAGCTGCTTATTTTTAAGAACAGATTTTAATATCTTGAGTTTGAAAAAAATCTTCTGATTTTAGAGTTGGAAGGGACCTCATATTTACTATCATGATACACATAACTTTTGTATTTTCCTCATGAAAAGTTAAACCTGAAAAAAAAAAATCAGGTTTAAATAATCCAGCACAAAGTTGAAGTATTCATTAACAGAAGCAAATGGATACGTCAGCTCTTTTGCTGCCATTGGTTTTCTGAGCACTAACTCTTTTACCTATGGTTTTAATTTTTGAACAGTTTTATTTTTCTATTCAGTGCTATCCAAATATTTGCTTACATTTGAATTTTTGTCAGTGGCATGCATAGGGTCTTAAGTAAATAATTGAGAAGTGCTACTTGGTGGTTTGGAAAACAGTGAATATGATTTGGTAGATGATTTACAAATGTACTGTGCTTTCTAACAGAGTTTTCTTTCTTTTTCAGAAAATTGAAAATGACCTTTCAGCTATGCTAGGTCTATAATGGGAAGTGTCACAGTTCGATATTTCTGTTATGGATGCCTTTTCACATCTGTGACCTGGACAGCTCTGCTTTTTATTTATTTCAACTTCAGTGAGGTGACTCAGCCACTTAAGAATGTGCCCATCAAGGGGTCTGGGCCCCATGGGCCATTTCCCAAAAAATTCTACCCTCGTTTCACACGAGGTCCAAGTCTAGCATTAGAGCCTCAGTTCAGAGCAAACAAGATGGAAGACGTGATAAATAATCATATTGAAGATCCAGAGAAAGGAAACATGAAATTTTCCCCTGAATTGGGTAAGTGAGTTTGATTTTCACTAGGAACCATTTCAAAGTATTTAATCATTAGAAGGTTAAGCGTAATTATACTTTTAGTCATATGTTGCTCAGGAGATTAGGAATGTGTCGTTTTTCCCCCCTTCACTGATTTATTTCGGCTTTGAACTGAGGTTCTTTGATTTTAGCAGACCTTTGTGAAGCTGTATTCTAATTTGTCCAATTCTAACTTCATTTTTGTATTGGAAAAAACTAACACGGTCTAAGGAAGAGGAGGGAATGAAAATAGAAATGGGGAGAAATTTTGATTGCTATGGTTATTTCGTGAGGAATATACATGATTGAAAGGTGACTTGAATGCTGGTAGCTTATTTTAAAGATAGATTTAATAAAAACAGACACAAGAGGTTGGGTTTAGAAATTATCTGGAACTATTTATATCTAATAAGATTTCCACTTAGAAGAATTATGAAAACACTGGAATATATATAAAAACCAAACTCACTGGGGTCGGACCCAACTCATAGTGACCTCTCCTTGGGTTTCTGAGGCAGTATCACTACAAAAGTAGATTGGTTGTCCGAGAAGTGGCTGGTGGGTTTGAAGCGCCAGCCTTCTGGTTAGCAGTCAAATGCCTTAGGCACTACACCACCAGAGTTCCCAGAATATATATATGTTGTTGTTGTTTGTTGTTATGTGCCGTCGAGTCAGACCCAATTCATAGCGACCCCTCCTGGGGTTTCCGAGGCAGTATCACTATGGAAGTAGATTACCCCATCTTCCTTCCAAGGAGTGGCTGGTTAGCAGTCAAGTGCCTTAGCCACTATGTTACCAGAACTCCCGGAATATATGTATATATATCTCAGAGGTGCTTATCTAATCTGATCATAATAAAAAACTTTTTTGTTTCTTTCAAAATTATATTCTGTCCAATTTGGAAGCAAGAATCTACTATGTATGTCTTTTAATACTACAATTCTAAAGACTTGTAATAAAACTTAGCAGATTTTATTTTAAGGGATTGTGGTAGTTCAGTTTGTTTGTCAAATAGGCTGGGCCTGGTTGAGTGGCTGGGCAGCTGGATATAGTATTCCCCATGATGAGGCTGGTAATCAACTCCATGGTGAAATCTACTGGGAGCAGCTGAGTAGCTACCTTAGGGAATGTGGTCTTCTTCCTGTATATAAGCAGAAGCCTTGGGGAATGGTCTTTAGCTTATGGCACACGTGGACCCTGCGTGTAGCCGTGTCATTGTTCAGCAGCCTGCCAGACTCTAGGGGATGTGTGAAAGCCCCTCAACCTTGGGCTTCATTCAGCTCTACCTCTTGCTCCTGGCCCACTGAAGCTAGAGGCATCTCCTCACTCAGGTAGCTACTGGCTGCTGAAGCTAACAAGCCCAAGGTCAACAAATAAAATGGCACAGTCCCAATGTTACCAAACCAAACAGCAGGCCATTAATTCAAGTCCATTGAAAGTCCCAAGGTCGGCAGAGCACTAGCAATGAACAGTCCAAAAATGAAACTGAGAAGACAATCCCATTTATAGTAGCATCGAAAAGAATAAAATGCTTAGGAGTAAATTTAACAAAGGAAGTGCAGGAAAGAAATTAAAGACCTAAATATAATGGAAAGACATCCTGGGTTCATGAATTGGAAAACTTAATATAAAGATAGCAATACTACTCAGAGTGATCTACAGTTCAGTGTAATCACTATCAGAATCCCCACAGCTTTTTTTTTTTTTTTGGCAAAGATAGAAAAGCTGATCCTAAAATTAGTGTGGAATTATAAGGGACCTTGAGTAGTTAAAACAGTCAATTTCAAAATGTTTCAAAGTAGTGTGTTACTGGTATAAGGATAGTCAAATAGATCAATGGAATAGAATTGAGAGTCCAGAAATAAATACATATGTCTATGATCAATGATTTTTGATAAGGGTGTCAAGACCATGTAATGGGGGAAAGAATAGTCTTTTCAACAAATGGTACTGGGACAAGTAGATTGCCTTATGCAGAATGAAGTTGGACCCACACCTCACACTGGATACAAAAATTAGCCCAAAATGATCAAACACCTAAATTTAAGGACTAAAACCAGAATCCTTTTCAAAGAAAACATAGGGACAAATTTTCAGGACCTTGGGTTTAACAGTAGTTTCTTAGATATGACATGAAAAATGTAAGTAACAAGGAAAAAGAATAGACAAATTGGATTTCATCAAAATAAGAAGCATTTGGGGATCAGACAATACTATCAAGAAAGTGAAATGATAATGGACAGAATGGGAAAATATATTTTCAAATAATATATCTAATAAGTCTAGTATCCAAAATACATAAACTCTTACAACTCAACAACGAAAAGACAAACAACCGAATTTAAAATTGACAAAACAATTGAATAGGCATTCTCCAAAGAGGATACACAGATGACCAACAAACACATGACAGATGCTCAACATCATTAGTCAAATCAAAGCTACTTGAGATATCACTTCACACCCACTATGATGAATATAACAACCAAAACAAACAAACAAACAAACTCACTGTCATCATGTCAATTCCAACTCATGATGACCCCATTTGGATTTCTGAGACGGTAAATCTTTATGGAAGCAGATTGTCCAGTCTTCCTTCCATGGAGTGGCTGATACGTTTGAACCGCCATCCTTCTGGTTAGCAGTCAAATGCCTTACACGTTACAGTATGTGTATGTATATATGTATGATGTATGTATGTATGAATAAATAAATAAATAAATAGATAAGTAAAATAGCAAGTGTTGTGAAGATGTGGAGAAATTGGAGCCCTTGTAAATTATTGGTGAGAATATAAAATGGTGCAGCTGCTGTGGAAAAGTTTAGCAGTTCCTCAAAAAGTTAAATATAGAGCTACCATATAACCCAGCAGTTCTGCTCCTGGGTATATACCCAAAAGAGCTGAAAACAAGTGTTCATACAAAAATTTGTATATGAATATTCATGTTGTTGTTGTTGTTGTTGTTATGTGCCGTCGAGTCATTCATAGCAACACTAATCACAACAGCCAAAAGGTGGAAACAATCAACGGATAATTGGGTAAACAAAACATGATACATACATTAAATGTGGTATTATTTAGCCATTAAAAACGAATATAGTTTTGATCCATGCTGTTTTCATGTTTTCAAGATTAACCATACAACATGGATGAACCTTGAAAAATTATGCTAACCTAAAGAAGTCAGACATGAAAGGTCACATGTATGATTCCATTTTTTGAAATGTCTAGACAAAAAGCAGATTAGTGGTTGCAAGGGACTAGGGGAGGGAGGAGTGGTGATAACTGCTTATAGGTACATGGTTTCCTTTTAGGGTGATGAAAATGTTCTGAAACTAGGTAGTGGTGGTAGTTGTACAATGTTGTGGATGTACTAAATGTCACTAATGGCAAATTTTACGTTTTTTTTTAAAGCTAAATTCCTCATACAAAGGAAACAATTTAGAGGGAATTTACATAAAAGTATGCTGGTTTCTGAATAAGACATTATCATTAATGCATCAAGGAAAAGAACCAGTGAAAAAGTGTATTTTTTGAAATAGAGCTTCTGATTTAATCTAGAATTACAAAGTTAATTTAACTAACTATTCTGGTATGTTAAATAATTGAGATTTGCCTATAATTTTATTTGAGCAGCAGCAGAAGAAAGGTAAGTTAATGGGATTTTGTTTTTGTTTCTTTAATGGTAAAATATATATATATATATCTCACTCACTGCCATCGAGTCAGATCCTACTCATAGCGACCCCTTGTGTGAGTGTGTGTGTGTGTGTGTGTATGCCCATCGCATCTGACTGGATAGCAATGAGTTAAGTTACATATATAAATATAAGGAGGAGCTCTGGTGGCATAGTGCCTAAGGCATTTGACTGCTAACCAGAAGGCTAGCAGTTCAAACCCAGTAGCCACTCATCGGAAGGAAGGTTGGGCAATCTACTTCAGTAGAGATACCACCTCAGAAACCCAAGGAGGGGTTTCTATGAGTCAGATTCAACTTGACAGCAGTGAGTTTGGTTTTGGTATGTATATATATATGTACAATTTTTATGTGTACAAGTCAGTGAAATTAAATTACATCCATCATGTTGTACAACCATAACCATTATGTTTCCTTATTTTTTTCATCCTTCTTAATAAAACCCAGTGCCCATTAAGCAAAAACTCACAATTTATCAGTGATAACCACTGTGCATTTATTTGCCTATTTTAGATATGTCATATAAGTGGGATCATATGAAATTCCTGTTTATGTCTGACTTACTTCACTCAACATAATCTTCTAAAGGTTCAACCATGTTGTACCATGTGTTCTGGTTACCTAGTGCTGCTCTGACAAGAATATACCACAAATGGGATGGCCTTAACAAACAGGAGTTTATTCTCTTATAGTTCGGGAGGCTAGAAGTCTTTGTTCCAAGTGCCAAACTCTTGGGGCTGGGTGAAAGCCCCTCAACCTTGAGTTTCACCTCTGCTTCCTGCTTCCAGCCCACTGAAGCTAGAGGCATCTCTTCACTCAGGCAACTACTGGCTGCTGAGGCTAACAAGCCCAAGATCAACAAGTAAAAAGGCACAGTCCTGATGTTACCAAACCACATGGGAGGCCATTAATTCAAGTCTATTTTAAGTCCCAGGGTCAGCAGAGCATGGCAGGCTACTGAACAATGACACAGCTACATGCACGGTCCAAGCGTGCCATAAGCTAGAGACTATCCCCAAGGCTTCTCCTTATATACAGGAAGCAGACCACATCCCAAAGGTAGCTACCCAGCTGCTTGTGATAGATCCCACCATGTAGTTGATTGCCAGTCTCATCATGGGGAATAACTACCACCAGCTGCCCAGCCACTCAACCAGCCAAGTTGACATACAAATTTAGCTACCACAATTCTACCCCTTGTCAACTTGGTATCTGTAAAGATCTTCATTGGGTGGCATCTGTACAGATCTCTCTCACTAGGTGACTCCAGTCCCCTAGTTCCTC